GGACACTGCAACAGAGCCAGATTTCCTTGGGTGCATGATGCAAGTGTCATGCAGCTGTGGGGTTCTTGGAGTCACATTCAGCTGGTAATTGCACACTGCTTGTTTGATATGGCAAAAAACAGACAGGAATAAAAACCCTGCAAAACCTAATTTGCATATACTTTGTTCAAGCTTCAAAAAGACTTTTTCCCTCTGATTTTTTTTTCCCAGTGGATCTGAACGAGTGCTCCGAGTAGATCTTCTCTTTAGCCTTTCCAAATCATGGCCATCTCTCTCCCCCCTTACTCTCAGTGCCTATTTCTGGCTGAGATTCTTACTCTCATTAAATAAATATTAACATTAAAAGACAAACCCAGAAGCAGCTTGCCATCAATCTGAAGAGAGTTATTAACAGGTTGAACTGATGGTGCGCATTTCCTTACAGTCCCCTCTTCTTTTCATTTTTCTTGCAGAATGGTTTTTTTTTTGGACACACCAGGGTCGAGATTGGGTGCAGATGTAAGAAAACTTATCACACAGCCGACTACATGACACCCACAACCCTCCCCTCCATGGAAAATGGTGTAATACACACAGCACTGCTGACACAGAGCCTAAACACACAACGGCAGGAGGAGATCCAACAGATAAAGGAGGTCACACTTTGTTTTTGGGATATCTCTCTCTCTCACACACACACACACACACCTTATTAGAATTAAAGGGAAAGGGGTGAGAACAGAAGAAAAAGTTTACAAGCGCTTTGCAACTCAGCAGTGAGTTGGGGAGAAGAGGAGGAAGAGAGAAATCCTAAAGGCTTAACCACTATAGCTTCTTGTCTGAGAGTATGTCAGGGATAACGGCGGTTAGTCATGCACAAATCCATACTGCCTGGAACACGCAGACAGAAGTATGAGTAGAGAAGCTGTGGTTTGCATACACAGGCACTTTGTATATGTTTACTTGCAGCAAAACTTGTACGAGACGGAAATAAATAAATAATCATGGCAAGCAGGCAGAAATTCAATCACAAATCAGGGAGAAAATTCTTCCAAAATGGTTAAGTAAGATCTTTTAAACATTACAGCTTAAACATGTATGAATAACACATTCAAGTAAATCACAATGGTGACAAAAAGCAAGTTAAGTCCAAATAAACTTAGAGTAAACCTGGAGTGACCATTTTGCACCAGTAGTGCCACGAATCATTTCTATCTGCCTGCTTTGGTCTCCGACTCTCACATCCAGCTGTTCTCTACAGGAAGAAGCTCCGAAACCCCAGCAGCATTACAATCAGCTTTTCTCGTTGCTACAGGGAAAAGCAAAAGGAGGGGAACTTCAAGTTGTAATTGAGGATGAAGAGGTCAAAGCAGTCCTGGACTCGGCAAAACACCTGAATTCAAACAGGCCTCGTCTCTTTTCTCCCTTATACAAAAACCACACAGGTCATTGTTAAGGATGGGACATTTCAGCAGCTCTGCCATTCTCTTTTTCAGTCTTTTTTTTTTTTTTTCTCTTTTGTGATCTGAGGTGTGGTGTGGGCGTCTAATATATATATATATATAATATAGGGGGGGGAGAGAGAAAAAAAAAAGCAATCTTCAACACCCACACCCTCATCCCCCTTCTCCTCCCTTCTCTTCCTTCTTCCCCTCCCTCTTCAAGTCTCCCCCATGCTTTGTGAAAAACTCAAGGCATCAGTGGTGAGAGCTCAGTCTGTTGAAGTGGCCGGCTTTTGAACCATACCCCAGTCTGAGCACCAGGAAAGTTCACAGGGAGAAGTGCAGCTTTGGGAAGTAGGGCCTTGACTAAAGCCTTGCATTGTGATTTATTGCTACAGAACAGGAGGAGTGAGTAGAGGAGAGAACCTCTGAAGACTTGGACAAAGAGAGAGACAGAGACATGAGTCCTGCGCACTGCAGCCCGGTGAAGACAGACTATAATATACACGTGAAACCATAACTGCAGGAAAACATCCCCCTCACTACTGGTAACAAAAAGGTAAACGCTGGCTGAGTTTTATTCTGTTTTCAATTTTGATTTTGGAGTCAGTGAGTGTGTGTGTGTGTGTCTGTCAGCAAGATGGCGTTTTGTGTGTGTCTGGGCAGCTGTGAGAGCTCTGGCTGAGAGGTTGGAGAGGTTAGGACGTTTCGTGACTGGAGGTTACATCTGCAGACAGAAACATTTAGCAACGCTTCTTTGGCTATCCCCTGGAGTCTGACTGAGAAATACCGTGTACAGCATACTGAGAAGTGTATCGTGTATACATTTAACATATGTAATGTATATGAGGCCAACAAAGAAATCTGGTGAGAATTTATGATCCTAGTTGTATTAAGGAAGGGCAGAAACAACTGAATTCAGAAAGTACAACTATTTCTGGTGTGCAGGGCCTTGATTTACATGAGTTAAGTAAAACTATTTTAAAAAATATACAATCAATGAGTTGTTTCATCTAGATGTGAGAATGGAGAAACAGACAAGATCTTAAACTTGCTCTGAAAATGACATTAAACCTTACCTGAGGAGAAAGAAAAAGCCAGAGAGAAGACAAAAAGAAAACTGGGACATTCCAGCAAAACACTTGAGGGAGAGTGATCAGCTCAGATGGAGAGATTTGAGCTCTGCTTCTAGGCCTGTTTATTTTTTCTTGGCTTTTGGTTTCCTAATACAGTCTGAACCTGGCTGCTAACAGGGGTACAGGGATGTAGCCGAGTTAACCTGGTGGAAATCGGGGTTAGGCCAATAAGTTCCATCTGTACATTCAGACGTGGTGACATCTCATCTCATCTCACAGCCCCTTTTGGAAGGCTTAAAAGTGAGCAGATTGTTTCTATGACAGTTTATAAGCTCCCCGTTCAGGGTCGTGTTAAGGGAAAAGATAAAAATGCAGTGTAAGCCAACCTTAACCACATCCTCTATCAAATACACCCCATGGACATAAGACACTTCAGTCTCAACCTTGTCATGATGGCAAACGCTTTGAACACTAATAACATCAATATGGTGCTCTTCCATATCAGCAACTCACAATTATCTTCAAATGTTTTTTGCTTACGTCCTGGTCTGTTGGTGGTATCTGTGGAAACATTCCGCTCGCTACAAAGCCACATCTGTGAATGCTGTAAAGGTCCGTGAGAGACACGCAGACCTTCAAAAAGCCAGTGTTTGAAGTAAAAGGCAAAATGAGCGATGGCGAAAAGGGCTAAGAAAACACTGCACGAGCATGCTCATTTTTCCGCTTAGAGTAATAAATCATAATATCGATACCTCTAATAATTCAGGCTGGAAAAATAAGTGGGAGAAAAAAAGATAAAAAAGATAAAGGGGAGGCGGGAACAGCTGTCTGAGAAATATCCAGAACATTCCATGCTGAAGCACCAGCATTCGGCTCTACCTGAACCGTGACTGCACAAAGGACAGGCTTTAAAAACGGGTCATTACTTACAATCCACGCATAAACCAACCATACTCTTAGCCTTCACCTTAAGAGTTTTAAATCACAGCAGACCATCTGTTTGATGTCTTTTCTATTTAAAGTTTGCAAAAGTCCCATGACAAGCCAGTCAGGCAGTGCGTGGCCCATCAGAGTCAGTTACCTGCAGCCCTCCCCACCAGTCCCTTCATAGACTATGCTATAACTCGGCACGAGACTCATAGCTCACCCAGCCAGCACCAACAAACCGCTGCGGTGTTTGGGCAGCAGGTATGCATCCAATCGTATCTTGCATTTTTAACCCGTGTCAATGCTAGTCTCAACTGATTTTGTCTGCAAAACGCAGCCAATTAGAGAAGCGGACAAAGATAACATCCTGGATAAAGTCTTATACAAAAACACTGCTCCTGCACTACTGTGTGCACATGTTAAACCCAACCACAGAACTACAAGTCTGACACATTACATATCTCTTAAAACTCAAACCGACATTATGAGCCACACAAACTTTTAGACTTTATAAGGACGTATAAAAACTAGTGGAGGATAAAGTCAAGGATAGTCACAGGAAACTGTTGTTTGAACTGTGAAGCTCATTAATGAGAGCTTGGACACAGCTGAACAGACTGGTCACCGTAGGGAGGAAGAGGTCAGCCAGGAGGTCAGGGTAAATAGTTACATGCCTCCACTTCACCCGTCTAAGTAGAGCCAGTGGACAACAAGCGTGTAATGCAGTGTGCAAATTTATGTGTTCTTCCTTGTTGATTTAGCTAATAGAAAGCATGTGAAGTCTGAGGTTTGAGTTTAAGGCTAGGTGTGACTCAGAAGAGAAATAAAAACCAAGGAAAAGTATGCACGAGTGGCCAAAGAATGTACTAAATCAGAAATTTTAAACCATCCAGCCAAACAAACATTCATATAAATTCTTTTTTTTAAAAAAATATTTTCCCCCTCCTTGCTCTCCTGGATCGCCTGACCTTCCTGAAAGTAATTTTTGCTGCACAAAACCTGAAGCAGCAATCCAGATATTCATTTATTTATCAGTTATCAACCAAAGAGCACGCCAACCAGGACAGGTGAAGCTACAGCTAATCTATCAACCTAGCTAGGTTAATTTTAAATTAATTTTCACCAAGAAACTGGGACTGTTGTGGAGGGTTACATCAATAAACATATATAAGACACAAAATTAATACCAACCTATCGGTGGAGCACACACAGAACAGTCCCAGTTTCTCACGTGACCCATTGAGAAAACAAATTAGCCACGTCTGACTGAGAAAATACACTATACAGAGGAAGATGCAAGTTTATGGTGTCATCAGTTGTTTTTTTTCACGCACAAGCCTGAATAATGCCAAAGATGTGTGTGTGCGTCGTCTATTCTATAGCAGGGGAAGCAAGAGGAAGAGTGTCATGTAATAATGACAGTGTTGGAAATCTCAGTCATTACATTAAGCACAGCACAGACAAAAGGATGACCCTGAGTTTCTGTGCATTTAAGTGCATGTTATGAACGCAGAGTAAGACGGGGAACCCGCTTTCCACAAAGACCAATTGATTTCAGGGCGGATGAGTGGGTGGGAGCAAAGTAGAGGAAGGGTGGGACTGTACCCTAATCTACAAATAGACCTCTGACCCCAACAACAGTCTCACCCCACATGTTTATAGAGTTTCCCCCACAGAAGAAGGAAAACAGATGGGGCCTCAGGGTGGTTTTGGGGGAATCACGCCTCACTAACATAGCATCATCAAGGACGACAGTTTAGTAGCTAGAAAAGCAGGAGGTTGAAATAACTTGTTGGTAAGGGTTGGTTTTATTAAAAATACAGGCCACCATCAACTTAATATTCAAGTTATAACGTTTAGTGGATTGCCTTAAGTTCCAGTAAAAACCTCCAGTATCCGTTTGTGGCTCAGGTTTTCTAATAAAAAGAAAATCCTACTGTAATTCTTTGCATCTGCCCTCATTTCCCTTTTAGTTTTACACCATGAACTGATATAAAACATTCCCATTACTTACTGTACCGCAATGTCATTTGTATTCCATTTTAGAAGCGGCATTTAAAGTTTCTTCAGTTTTGATTAAGCTTTTACGAGTTTTCCGTGTTTTTAGCACTCCTGTGTGAATGCTGCTTTTTTTTTGGTTTGTTTTTCTTCTCATTAACTGCTTCATAATGTCAGCGCTTTTACTACATCCCCGCTCATGCTGAGTTATCCTCCCAAAGCCATTTATTTACTCACATTTTCATCCTATCCTTCATCAAAAGCAAGTTAGATCGTTTCTTTGTCGGCTGTTCTGCGCACACTTCTGTAACCTATTGTTTCAGCAAGCGCAGGAAAAGTTTGACTTTGAGTTACTCATGTAACTCAGCTCTGTCTGATGTCATGAACAGAAAAAAGCTGCTGCTGTTGTTGTTGTTGCTGTTTCCACGTTGTTCCTTGAATGAGAATATACTTCAGTGATCCCTATTTTCCCTATTTTGTTTTCACGTTCCCTTCTTTTTGTAACCAGTGATGAGGTGTTTGGAGATATTTTGGACTTATTGTGGGAAAGTCTGAGGACCAGATGAGGGAGTGGAAGCAGAGGATTTTGGAGGCTGGGAAAAACATTGACTTTGAAAATATAAATAAATTCTATCCAAGTCATTCTCTCCCACTGGCTGGACTGCAATCCATCAAGTGAGAGACTGACACATTAGAAACCCACCATGGGCGCTGAAACAAACATGCTGCAGACTGATATTATACATATGTACAGGAGGTTACAAACTGAAGCAAAAACAAATCTAAAGTTTCTCATTAAGGTATTAAGCTCCCATGTGCCACCAACACAGCTTTAAAAGGCACCACAGATTTTATTCTCCAACTCTATGGAACATTAAATGAGGGATAAACATCATTATCTTCATAGTTATCCCCTTGTACAGACTTTTAATACCGCTGCGTGACACGTTGGCTCATAATGTTCTATAAGCTTCAAATCTAGTGACCTCAAAGGACACAGCATGGTTTACATCAATCTCATACTCATACTTACATACATACTTTGGTGCTCTAAGGAAACAAGTAAACCCAAACATCTCCTCACTGCAGGGTTCAAGCACTTAGGCTTATACTTTTCTCCTGGTTTATGGAACATGTACTTCTCCACTAGCTGAGACTACAGTTAAACTACTTATGTAACCACTTGAGCAGACATCTGGATCAGTTCCGCCATCTTCACATGAAATCACAATCAACTGGCTCTTCTCAGAATTTCTGGACATAATATAGAGCAAGACTGTGTGTAAACAGCCTAATAAACAGCACACTTGTAATTACACATCTAAGTTTCTCCACGCAGTTGTTCAGATTTTCCTTTTAATTTATCACTTGTCTGTTTGGCATTCCTTCTAAAGTACACACTTCATTCACCTGTAACCAAACACTTACAGGTGTATGACAATCTCCATGCAGGCAGTTTATAGTAAATATTTGTAATAGTTTTCTTTAGGTGACAAATGAATATGTTTTTTGCAATTATGCGCAGTGAAACCCAAGGTTATAAGAGTGCCTGCCATATGGCCATCTCTGTGAAGTCAGCCTCAACAATCATTATGCTGTCTATCCGAATATTACAAGCTAATTTTTCCCTGCCAGGAGGAAAATAAACAGATGTCTTACTTAATGACTTCTCTAGTCATTTCCTCTCTTGCAACAATCATAATATAATTATAACATCAGTCTCTACATGAACAATCTAAAAGGTAGACGAAAGCCAGTTTCTCTCCAGAGGAAACTGGCTGTCATTGTGCTGTCAATGTAAATATAGTACGCCAAGACCAATTTGAAATGCAGTTAATTCAGCATGGCGCCCATTCTCATTTTGTAATTCGTAATTTTGTTTTTGTATAGTTTGTTTTTTTCATATGTGGGCAAGTGCGGTGAACCCCTTTATGTTTTTTTTTTGATCATTTACAAAGTGACTAAAAACATAAAACAAAATAAAGTGCAACTACAGTTGAAGTGCAGAATTTGCATTTATAATAGTGTAATGGTTCATACAGTGGAGTGACTGTGGATTGAAAAGAAATTAACCCACAGTACAGACAGGGGCATACAAAAAGAGACATGCAGACAGGGGAGTGCGGACAATCAAAGAGATACTGTAAGATAGATAAGGAAGTGCATACCCTGCAGTGCATGACAGAGGTGCATGAGATCATACTACTGCCAAAAAGATGGAGGGAAAAAAAGGCATGCAGAGGTGACCGTTTGTCAGTCCTTCACTGGTTTCAAATGGACTACACAATTTTTTTGCTAGTAAGGCAGCGCCAGCAAAAAAAATAACAATCCTATTCATATTAAAGTAGAAAATTGGTTTAAATGTTTCTTATTTGGTATACTACTTAAAGTCTTGATCTCCCATGTGCTTTTAGTTAACTGTAACTGAAAAGGGTGGAAGGAGCACTAAACAGAGGGAGCAAAGAGGAAGAAAAGCAATGAAAAAAAAAAAGGGGAAAGTCAAGAGGATGGGGCTTTCACATTGAAAGAAAGTGCCAGAGAATTCTGTTAAGAATAAAAAGGAATGAGAGTAGTTTATGTATGAGAGGATTTGCCTCAGGTTATGTTCACGATGACTGACCTGAAAGGCAAAAAGGGGCCATGACCCATTTTCTACCACCATTACTTTCTTCCATCTTTAACCTCTTACTGTTTCTCAACCACTTGACAATATATTCTAAGTGAAATAATACTTGCAGCCTATAACTTGCACATCAAGTTTGTGACCTTAAGCTAACTTGGTACTACACATTCTTGCTTCCTGACTCCAAAAACACAATGTTAATGTCCTGATGGCTGCATCCATCTTTTATACACAATGCAGAGCCTGAGGAGAAACAATCAAGGAGTGTGAACTCATGCATATATGGACAGATGTGTACTACTGCCCAAGTATAAAAAGATACGTTACCAGATGTTCTTTAAACACAGGTGAGCTTTGTGTTTTTCTTTTAACAGCCCTTACAGGCCTGAACCAATTTAGATGTTTTTTTTTCCTTCTTACTCAAAAGGGCAGTCTGCTTGTTCTGGTGAAACACTGTCAATGTTGTACCTTTACAACACACTACTGACCTCTCAGCATCTCCTGGAATGTCTTTGATATGCTACGTTTCCATGAAAAGAGACTAGGCCCCTCATACTCATAATGAAGGTAGGAGCTGAGACAGCGAAGGGATAGAAGAAAGGGACTGCAAGTAGGTGCTAAGGCAGGCAATAACTGATAGATGAGCTGTGATGTTACAGTTCTGTTCATGCCTCGTACGCTTTATGAATATGAAGACTTTGTGGAACTGATAAGTTTAAAAAGTCAGCCACAGTTTAGAAGTGAAGACACTTGAAGACTGATAGTGCTGACGCTGCTGGTAAAGTCATTAGCAGCTCTCACTAAGGTCAGCAAGGATACAGTACCTGGTTACGCTGTCAGACACACAAGCTGCTGGAAAAACATACAACCATGAAAATGAATAACATCTCTGAGTAGTCATGCACACAGAGTATTCAATCATACAGACAGACACACGAACTTAAACATACCATTTAAAAGGCACACACACACACACACACACGCACGCACACATACACGCACACACACCCTGCAGATCTAGAGTACTAACTGTAATTCTGCCCCCTTTCAACATTGTTCCAAGTGACATAATTGCCAGAATTCCTGAAGAACCACAATGGCGTCATATGGGAGACACACAGCGCCTGAGTTTCAGGGTGGAGGGTAGGCCATAATGATGTGGCATAGAGAAAAGACTGACTGTGAAGAGTGATGGAGGGGATTAGGAGGGATAGAAAGTCTTGGCCTTGCATAGGACCAGGTCGGGTGTTAAATTGAGCAGTACATGAGACTGTGAGAGCTTTTTGTGTTTGTATGCTGATGAGAAACAGAACCAAAAAAAAAAAATCACAAGGGGAAACAGCTTTGCACATATTTTTGATTGATTTCTGACTTAGTCTCACATCCATTAGTGACTGCCTGCATGCATGTTTGGAAAATATAATTTAAATAAAATATAAATACCCAACACCTGTGCTGGCATGTTTAACTATGTGAAGAAAATTGCATTATGGTCAATTTGTGGTTGGTGTGTTTCAGGTGAGGCCAGTGCAAATAGCCAACCTAGTTACAAAGGACAGTAACATTATGTCTAAGCTGTGGAAGTAGTAAGTCAGAAGCCAGGTATTTATATTTTAATGTCATGGTTGAACAACGTGGAATAGACTTTATATCTAAAAAAAAAAAAACCCACAACTATACAGCCAAGTGGCACTGAATTTCCTACTGAGGTGCATGGCCACAACATATCTTTTACACCCTCTTAAGGCTGGAGTACTCCCTCAATTATATGCAAAAGGTTTTTACGCTATGCTAAAAAATGCCAGCAGCTTAGTGAGGTGCTTTTTAGCAGCCTGTGCTGCATGCTAACCACCGTTTCCTGTTGCTAAGAACTGAAAAATGCTCAGCTACGGATAAAATCTGTCTCATTACTGTCACTTTAAAATCACACTGGAGGACAGGTGAGACAAATACGGTAACGATACGATAACAGTGGAGCAGATTATACTGCTCTGTTCTCAAACGACCCATGTCTGTAGCAGATGACATCCCCAGCATGGCACATTATTGTTAAAAAGCTTGTTGATACATTTAGCTTGATGTGGGTGTGCCATGTAAGCATCGATCAGCAAGAATCAGGTAACTGTAACACATTAGGTTGCCATTTTGTGTCATATCAATAAAAGTGTATCTGTTGTAGGGGAAAAGAAGCTACGAAGAGACTGTGCTTTGCAAGTCCCAACTTAAAAATAAATGAAGTTTCCATCCATTTTCTGCTGCTTGCTCCAGTATCTACAGTACAATCCAGAAACTGGAAGTTGATTCCTGTGGTCAACTTGCTGAGAAGTATCATAATTTCTAAAAAGGGTTCCTGATTCCTACAGTTGGGGGAAAATAACAAAACAAAAAAACAACTTTAAGTAGGATCTTATAGAAGCCGGGAGGATGGGAGTTTGTCTCTGTCCTAGACTAAAGAAGATAAACTAAATTCAAGGGCAGGATGAAGATAGAGATAAATCAGCAACAGTTAGATATCATACCTCCTTAATAGGGGGAAACCAAGAGAACCTCTGAAAAATGGGGTGTCTGTCAACAGGGGAACTAACGAAGACAGAAAGCAGACGTAAGCCAGTTGGCTGGACAGATGTGTTCTCTCTTTCACTATTTCCACACAAATAACAGTCTGTGGGAGCAGTACGTGACAAATTCTCGACTGGATACTTTCCTAAACAATTAGATTGTCTGCTGATATTTTTTTTAAGAAAGTATTTGAAGCTTTTTTTTTTCTATTTCATCAAAATTCTATAACCCTCTGCTCTGGAAAAGCAAATAATTAACAGTCCTGCTGTTTTTATTCATTGTACACAAAGAAAAAGTTGTTTCCTTAATTCCTAAGGTCGTGTGTTCTTTCAGGGAGGCCTGGAGGGAGTACCAGTAGCTGCCCATCTATCCATTCAGTCAGCCAGCAGCAATGCAAGGGCTGATGTGGCGTCTGTGCGCCTTGCTCTGCCTCTCCCTCTGGCAGGAAAGTTACTGCAGGAGCTCCAGGGAAGCCCGGAGGACCAAAGAGCCTTCTCTCCACAGGAGTAAAAGAGCTCCTCTGGATCCTGATGCCAAAAAATGCTCTTATACCTTCCTTGTACCCGAGCAGAGAATCACAGGTAGAAAAGATGCTATTTTTCGAGAAGTACCCTTAGTACAATATGGTTGAACTAGTCTCTCTTTTGCTTTCCATTACATCAAAACAGCTTCTTATTAATCTCTTAAATCACATCTGTCATCAGGTCCAATCTGTGCCAGCACCACAGGCCCAGAGCCAGACAAGGAAAGAGTGACCCGTATGGAGATTGCAGATGTGCGGGATGTGCTCAACAAACAGCGCCGTGAGATTGAGACGCTGCAGCTGGTGGTAGATGTGGATGGTAACTTGGTGAATGAGATGAAGCTGCTGCGGAAAGAGAGCAGGAACATGAACTCCAGGGTGACCCAACTATATATGCAGCTGCTACATGAGATCATCAGGAAGAGAGACAACTCCTTGGAGCTCGCCCAGCTGGAGAACCGTGTCCTCAATGTGACCTCAGAGATGATGCGACTGGCTTCAAGGTATAGGGAGCTAGAGGCCCGTTTTGCCACAATGGCCGGAGTGGTCAACAACCAGTCCATTCTCATATCTGTACTGGAGGAGCAGTGTATGAGGACGCTGGGACGCAGCGAGTTGCCTGCAGTTCCCCCTCTGGTGCAGGTGGTACCGCAGAATATACCAGTCAACAACCGTTTCACCAATGAGATACAGAGGGACAATAACAACAGGGAGTTCTCCCGTGGACCACGCATCAACCCACCTACAATAAGCCCTTTTGGGATTGACCCTCCACCACCGCAAGGAACGCTTACCTCTGATGGTAAGTACACATTTAAAATGGCAAAGACTGAGGAATAACTGAGGACTGTAAAACAGTCAGGAATCTAATGACTTTAAGTAGGCTGACGCTGAGCAAAAGTAAGATGTCTTAAGTAACTGTCAGAAACTGTGCTAATTGTACACACAACTACTAAAGTATAATTAGCTAGGGATTGCAATTCAAAACCTAATTTCTCGCAACAGTTGGTACTGTTGAGGCACAGTTGGCTCATGCTTGGCATGCTACAGAGGCAGTGAAATCATACATTCCTATGATCCCACTTGGCTGCTTGTACTGGCAGCATGACACCGAGCATATGCACTAAATTAGTGGGATGGGATTAGGCCTCTTTTAACAGCATTAAGAAGACTTGGTAAAATGGGAAAAGATATATCTTCAATTGGATAAGTAAAGGGGCAGGGTATAGTTAAAGTACCCATCCACTGGATTTGCCCAAGAAGTCTGAGAACCCTGCACTAAAATAACTCATCAGATAAAATCCTCTAAATAGACAAAGCTCCTTTGTTCTTTTCTTCCCAAAAAAAAAAAAGTTGACCATCCTGACATCTGAGAAAGATAATCGCCAATGTGAAACTAATTTGCAAGGTAGACTGCTACTTGGAAATGGCTCCTAAAACTTGGTCCGGGCGCTTGTATTTTGACTGGCGATTAAAGTATGGGGAAGAATGTTGAAAGGGGTTATACAATCCCTGAAACGGTGAAACAGACAAGGGGGAAAGCAAAACAAAGCCTGTCTGAAAAATGATGGGTCAGAACCAGACAAATTTAAGGGCCAAGATAAACGTATTTTTGACAGGGTCACAGTTTAACTACATTATCGTCATCATCATCATCATCTTATCAAGTTTAAACCCATACATTTCACAGCTTATTTGTAAATTATCCTTTACTTTCAGTCATTTGGTATGCATGTCTATGACGAATTATAAGGTATATATATTGATATACATTGATATTTTTTCTTCAAACTATAGTAAACAATGAAGCCCGAAGATCCTCGGCTGGGCAAACTATATGAAAGCACCCAAAATTCACCTTAAAAGTGTATCAGAATGAAAAAACAAACAACAAAAACAACAACACATTTTTATATCAGGAAATATTTGGGAAAACATGCACCAATGCCATAAAACTGCATCTATGATATGGCAATGTATCACCTATTCTGGGCTGTACATATGGCAGAGTTAAATAATGACATAAAATTCAGATGTATACTATTTTGGAAATAATTAAGTCAGTTTTTCTGTTTATGATCATTCAGGCGGCATAGTTAGACCTTAGTATTATGATATTTTTGCTTTGTTTAAAAGGCATCAGCTCACAGTCACAGCCCTGTCATTGCAAAAAAGGAAAAAAAAGAAAAAATTAAAAGTCTATACAAGAGTTAATGCCTATACAGTCATTTTAAATGTGTGTTAATCCCAAGTGTCTGGTTTCTCATGAAAGCCCACATCAATCAGTGAAACCGTTCTTCTTAAATCACAGACCTGTCGCCACCTCCACTGACATTCAAATAATGACATGCTTCTTTTAAGCTCAAAGAGCAGAGGAGCATATTTTAAAAGCCTCCACATAGAAAAAAAATCTCCAAAGAAACACAAAGGTAGAAGACGGCATGAGGTGAGGAAGTGCTCGTGGGAGGTAAAATTGCAGAGACTGAACTTGTAAATGACAAGAAGACCGCGTATCCTTTTAACTACCTCTAGTGATGTAGAGTTCCTCGTCTACCTTACCAAGCTGTAACTGTCTGCTTAGTTATCAGCCGAATAAAGTGTATTTGAACTGACAGACATACTACAAACAACATTCTGACCATATCCTTACTGACCTTATCCATCAGCTGCTGTTTTCACTCGATTAGTGCTGCTCCTTCATGATCGAGATAAAAAGTTATAATAGGAAGATTTAATTTTGTTTTTTTTCTATGGAGTTTTTATGGATGCGTTTTTGCAGCAGACAGGATAGATCTAAAACAAGGAGGGAAAAGTGTAAAACAGAAAGCCACCACAGGTCCTAGCAGGCCCTCTCCCATGTAGGTTCCATACAAGTATAAATACGCACCGCTTCACCACAGTTTGGTCTAGATGAACCAACTACTATGTATTATACTGGGTACCTATGTGCTTTCAGAGAGTCTACCACAGGCCTCTAGACTAGACAGACAGACCTAGCTTGTGTTGATACTGGTTTAATAAATATTCACAGAGAGAAAGAAGAAATGTAGCCGGTTTAGATTCAGCTGCTTCAGCTCAGCTCTGGTGCAGCGCCACCTCATAGCTTTGACTGAAGGTGGAATCTAGGTGAATATTCAATAACAGTTTTGGTGTGCAGATGAAAACTTATGTAACTTCAGACTGTGGGATGTTTGGGCGGTCTGAGCAAAGATGTTAATTTCTTTGTCTTCCCTTTTTAATCTAGTTTATAACGACTTCTGTATGTGAACTACAAAGAGTGACATTTAAATCAGGACATAGTCAAGTCTTATTATTCAGAAGTTTCGAACTGTGTGCAAGTCAGATAATTTGTGTTGTTTAATAATTAAATAAAGAAAAAGAGATTAAGATTCTGTAAATTAGTCAAAGATATGGTAATACATGGCTTTTTAGTGCAAGTTACGGCTCATCTTAGTATCATGCATACCCTTGTCCTCAAAATTATCACCTATTAAAATCACCACTTGGGTTTCTCAATATTAACAATATAATTTATATGCAGATTAAAATATCACAAATGAGTGTTTATCAGTATTAATGTTCAAATAAGAACCGCTTATTTATCTTCCTCTTCTACATCATTTACAACACCAGGTCCCTTCAATGACTGCTACCAGGTGCGAAAGGCAGGCTACACCACCAGTGGTATGTACCTTCTTAAGGCAAACGGCAGTGACCGACTGATCCAAGCCTGGTGCGAGCATGGCCTCGACAATGGAGGATGGACAGTTATGCAAAGGAGGAAAGATGGCTCTGTTAACTTCTTCCGTAACTGGGAGAACTACAAGGTAAGTTTACTGAAAAGGAGTTTAATGAAGTAACAGCAGGTCATGTGATAAGAATTTGGCATTTCAAGAACACAAATGTACAATAACAGTAGGTTTAGGGCCACTAGCCAAGAATATGTAGCTTACCCTGCAGATGATCATAAAATCTATACTGAACCTATGATTGGCTAGTTGCTTATGCCAATGGCCCAAAAATAAAGTGACAGATAAAGAGACTCTGTATCACTCTTTTCACAAGTCCCACCTTCAAGAGAGCAATGCCAACAAAATTAGTAAGTTTGTGCAGCCCACCCCTTTCCTTAGCAGCCCAGTCTCTGTGGTTCGTTTTAAGGTCACTTAGCAAGCACTTGTTCAAACAGTGTAAATAGCTTAGTGGTGGATTTCCTCACACTGAAACTGCAGCCAAGAACTGAATCCAGGGACAAATGTATGCAATAAGAGAGCCCCAAGGGCTGAGAGGGAAACGCAGCTCTCCTCTCAACCCCACTGGAAATGACCCCTGTGTCTCTACTTCCCATGTCTCAGCCTTATGAGAGAAGATGACCTTTTTTTTCCCTGTGTCATTTCTATCAACATGCCCGACCTCTGTTTTCTCTGTATGTGATGAAGGCAAATTGCAGGAGTTCTCCTTGAGTCATAAATTTTGGATTCATGTATTAATACGGTCATGGTGATTGGATTAGAGACAGAAAACACTCGTGCAGTTCTCCACTTGCTGCATTCAACTCTCCATCTACAACACTGCCAAATCATCGCTGGCTTTGCTGTTCAACAAATTTGTTGAGCTAGAAACCGCAGATCGCAACCTTAACACATTATCATTTCAATGGGAAACAGATTTGATTTCAATTCACTTGATTGCAAGGAGAAAACTCTTATAAACACAGCTCCCTGGCAAGAATTCATAATAACCTCACTCCGTTTTAATGTTTGTGTTCGTTGGAAACGATTTGCCTTCACTGACCACAGAAGCAAAAGATCTATTCATTCACCATTTAGCTAAACCGCAGTATCCAGCTTACGTAAATTAGTACTACACGTATAAAAGTAGTGACACTGAAATCACAAGTGAAACTGTCGTACTGTCATAATGTGGTGCCTGTCCCCTGCAGAAAGGCTTCGGTAACATAGATGGCGAACACTGGCTCGGCCTGGAAAACATCTACAATCTTACGAAACAGGGTGATTACAAGCTGATGATAGAGCTGGAAGACTGGACAGGAAAAAAGGTGTATGCCGAGTACAGCAGCTTTCATCTGGAGTCTGAGAAGGAGGGCTACCGGCTGAGGCTAGGCACCTACCAGGGCAATGCTGGTGACTCCTTTAGCAGTCACAACGGCAAACAGTTCACTACGCTCGATCGTGACAAGGACTCCTTCTCTGGTAGGAGGACATATTGGTTACATTAGTTTGAAATAATTCATGCATTACACTGATCTTATTTTCTGAGCCTGGGTTCTTCTCTTCATTAGGTAACTGCGCCCACTTCCACAAGGGCGGCTGGTGGTACAATGCCTGCGGACAGACCAATCTGAATGGGGTGTGGTACAGCGGGGGAGTTTACCGCAGCAAGTTTCAGGATGGAATCTTCTGGGCAGACTACGGGGGCGGTTTCTACTCCCTAAAATCAGTCCGCCTCATGATGCGGCCAATTGACTAGGACCATGAACTGTGGTTCTTTCAGATGCATCTCAGTCTCCATCCTTATCTTTCTCTACCCATAAATAAATAAATACTGTAAAGGCAGAAGCAGGAATCTCTGCCACAGCTAAGGAAGAGGTAGTGACATGTTTATGGCCAACAGTCCACTCTGTGGCTAGTCAACTGTTACGCTGACATGAAGACTGATACCACTGCCTTCCCCAAGTAACTACTCTCCATCTCCTATCAGTGTGGACAGTCCATGAAGTTCCCTGAGGCCTTTTAGTATGACTATGTCCTATTTTACTCACTCTTCTTGAGATTAAGTATGTTATAAAGGGAAATTATTATTTACTACAGTGATGAGATTTCTTCTGAGCAGCTAATGGTGACTTATTGAAAGTGTTCCCCATAGGATGGGGCATTGAATAAACTGCGATGTTTAATCGTGGTAGCATGAAAAATTAATGCAATCTAAAGTAGTGCTGAGAAGACCTGCCAAACAGTGAGAGGAAATAAATAGTTCACCTACTGTCTACCGTTTCTACTGGATTTCCTGGACTTCTGGGGCAACAACCGACCCCCAGCACCAAACCCACAAACCCACCGACTGAACAGAAACAGAACCTGTGCAACGATGTGCTTGTTCAATGTGCGTATGGCTGAGATGGCTTTAGTATGTAAATATCTTTGGCTTTATTTGTGAAAGTTAATTTAAAAAGGTTGTGATTCTACTCAGGCCAAATGTTCACAATGTCATCACTCTGCCATTCTTTGTTATTTAACAGTGTATTTATATTTAATATAGTCATGCCATTGTTATATCTAGCCCTGTAACAATACAATTCTTTACACTTTTCTTATCCAGTGTAGAAATACATCAGTAGCACTTCAACACACATACACACACGCGCGCAAACACACAAGAAAACTATCTGGAGTGGATATCTAGTTGACTTTAGGATGGACAAGTTGTGACATGAGCTACCAGCCATCAGAGAGGAATTAAATTCTTTCATAAACAATAAAATGTCTCACTTTTCACTACGCTTCTTGTTCTAATAAACAGCAAGACTTTCATAAAATCATTTCCCACACGAATACACTTGCAAGTGTCACTGTGTAAAATATTAGCACAGCAATTTTATTTATAAAGGATGACAGCATCACCTAAAATAAGCCACTATATTGGATCTGATTTAGTTGCAATCCAAGCTCAGGGAGACTTCCAAATTAAAGGAAGCGACCAGAACAGAAATTAGCTCTGACCACACACGGGGACTGCATTTACAAATTTACAGTAGGTCAGATGTGAGACAAGAATTGTCATTTATGTCCCCCTGTTTAGCCGGAGATACAAAGCCATCTCAAGTTTTTTCAAAAAACTTAATAAAGCAACATAAACTACCATAATTAAACGGCTTCTAATTTGGAGACAAGTCAACAAACTAGTATTGACCAGTCATCTTAAATTATGCCTCCACTAGACTCTTCTTTTAGAAGAACTGTACGTCAGAGCAGACCGAAGCTTTGCACTCTAAAGGTCCGGGGCAGATGAGGACTAGCCGTACTAGAGCCTGACACAGAGGACTGTAGGTTACAGGAATTGGTTATGAAAACCTCCCGGCCCCAACCCCGCTGGCAGGATTTTTGATGTGAGATATTTGACACTTTAAACTTGCTATTTTCCATTACATTAGTCATTCCAAACGCTGATGCTCGTGTCCCACAGCTACCACTACTCAGCAACAGCAAGCTGGAGTTGGAGCACCGCTGAGCTCAATTCTGGCATTCTGTAAAAATCTCTCTCCCCTAACAAGAGGCCACAAACAGAAAATACATGCTACAGCATCGCATTAATAAAATTACACTGGGACTGTCATAAATATTAACAAGCTCTTGATCAGTGACATCCTGTTCAGAGAAGTGTAGCACCAAGCTACACGAACACAAAGGATATTTTTAATCCGTTTGTGCAACCAAGCAGATCGTGGCCAACAGCTGTTGGTTCAACTGTGTAATTGAAATCGAAAACTTTATTATTTTTAGCATTTAAAATCAGATGCAAATCAAATAGGTTTTATTTTCTTCCACGTGTACAGTACCTATGATCCTGTATTAGATATTAGATCACTTGTCGAGCAGTGTTTAGCAACACCAAAGACGCTGGTGGCAAAGTTTTGCTACTGATATCCTGCTTTTGCTAGACAAGGTGAAGGTGAAAGGACGGGAACTATTTTAAACTGCATGAATGGCTTTATTCCTAGAGTTAACCCATATGTTTCTATGGGCTCTTTGTCCCTACATGATTTGCTAGAGATCAAGGATGTGAGCTTAGACAGGAGGCAGCAATGTCTGCCAAACCTAATAGTAGGTCAGAGATCAGACTGTTGCGCATATACACAGTTCAGCACAAATGTGTCACTGTAGAGCCAACACATGGCTCTTTCTCCAGACTGTTTATTGCCAGTGATAGGCATCACACCCAAAAATAAAGGAAATAGAGCACAGTCACAAACATGTCAAGAAGCCATTCAAATAAAGTTTAGGAAACAAAACCTTTTGGTAAGAAAACAAACAACAACATGGTAATTTCAGCCCTCTGTTCTAAGTTGGGACTTTAATTTACGGCAACACTCAAATTCAGCAGGTTCTGTGTTTAGACACCAGAGAGGTCAATATGTGAACATCAAGAGAAACCAAACACAAATTTATTCCTTAAGCACACCCAACACTTAGCTGGGAGTGATGCTCTGGAACAAGCACTGCGACTTTCAGTCTCCTGCTCATTCATTCCCATTTTCTACACCCTGGAGGAATCAGGAGAATTTACGATTAAGGGAAATGTGCAGGAGCAAGAAAGTGGCAATTTCTCTTTCTCTTGAGCGCCAGGTTGGCTCGATCCAGTCCTGAGGCAGCCAGTTAGTTGGTCACACATCCACGAGCATCATAGACAAGTTTATACTGTAAGGAAAGACCATGCAACTCCCACATATGTGCCCTAGAAAACTCCACCCCGAGACAGAGCAATAAATGACGAATGACAAAAGCTTACCGAAAAGTAAGTTTCCTTTTGATTAACATATACACAATGACGACACAGTTTAGATGTGCATTTGTCTTATTGTTTTACAGACATCCATGATGGAGCAGTGTGGGAAAATCGGTCCCCTAAACTTTCTTTAATGGCAAACAGATTCTTGCGCACTGCGTATTTCCCTGTGTCTGTTTGTTTGTGCATACTTGAGTGTCCAAGTCTGAATCACACAGAGGTAGCTATGATACAAGGCTAATTGAAAGGGGGGGGGGGACAGTGGTAGGTTAAAAAAAAAAGTTATTTAGCCAACCTGAAGTCAAAACAAGAACAAACAGTTCAGCTATAAAACCACACACACATGGGCATGAACGTTTTCCTTGCAACTCGTAAGGGATTCCTGTGTGATGTCATACTGTGGAGCCAGAGGGAAAAAGGAATATGAATATTCAAGGGATGGAAAAAAACAACAACTTTTCAACGTGTCCTAGTGATTCATGTGTTTGTTCCTGCTAAAGGGAACTTTGATGTTTCGTAAGAGAGCAGAAAATTTATGCTCAATATTCACTATTAGGCCAAAGGGAGGGGGGGGATAATGATGTGTTACAAAGATGCGAAAGCTTCTGAGGAAACAGACAGCGTACTGAAACAGGCGGGGAAGAGAAGTAGAGCGAAAACACCAACAATAAATGCAACTGCTTAACAGACTGACAAATGATTGTCGTGGTGATGTAAAGACAAACGCAGGCAGGAAGTTTGGCTTTTCAAACCCAGACGCTTGTCATTAAAGTAACCTTTAGCCCATAAAGATAAGAAGCTGAGTGCAAGGCATCTTAATGGATACTAAAAGTAAACTAGGGGTTATTTATTTTTGTTTATTTTAGTGTTTTCCATTGAAATTTTTATAGACGATGATAAAATCCCAAATATGTGAGTCACTAGAACCATTACGGCTACTTCTGCAGAGAAGGGCTAAATTATTGAGCAAGCTCAAAGCTATTTAGAAATGCATCTTCAATCATTTTGGTTATATGGTACACACTGTGTCAAACACAGGTGATTAAAAAAAAATACTATTGCTAAATAAAAAGTCTTTAAAATGCACAACATCTAGTCTCCCATGGTGTAACAAACTATTGAGATATACAAGGTTTGATGTTACTCAAGAACATTACTCACTCAAATGTTGGAATAAATCACCTTGCACCTGTTGTATAAGCAAATACAATAACTCTCTAGTCACCCATTTATTCCTCGCTTTATATCTACATGGATCAATTTTTAATTTACAGCATATGAGCAATTTGAATAAAACATGTGGTATTGTGTTGAGTCAGCAAAAATGCTAAAATGGAAATCTGGACTTCCAACTGCCTTTTTTTTAAAATCCAAAGTTTATGGTTGGAAATAAAAGTGCTTTCAAAGCAAAAATCGCATCGGCTTCTCTAGCTTAAACCAGACCAACATTAACTTTTATTTCACTTTTTGCCATTGTTGATTTCTAGAAATAAGGCGAAAAGGCAAAAGTGCTAAGCCTCATCATTTCTTTATATTTTGAAAGGAAAATTGGAAATGGGTGTAGCGATTTTTTAAAATGAGCAAACATAAGTGGAAATACAGTATAAAAAGACAAAGAGGGTTTTGTCTTCAAAAATCAGTATTTGGTATGACCAGTTTTATTCTTAAACACAGTCTGAACTCTGTTAGCTCAGCTTTCTGGTAATTTGTTTAAGTAGTCTTCAGGGATAGTTCTCCAGGCTTCCTAAAGGACTGTTGTACCTCTTGCGCGACCCCGTCGTACATACCGCAGATGATCTGAATGAAAGCTTTCAAGTTTGGATTCATCACTCCATCAGACCTGTTGCCACTGACTTTCAGTCCAGTTCATGTGTAATTTGGCATGCGTCAGGCGTTTCTCCCTGTTTCTCTTTCTTAAGAATGGCTTCTTGACAGCCACCCATCCACTGAGACCATTACTAATGAGGCTTTGGCAAACAGTAAATAGATCGACTGAAGGGCCAGATGTACTCCACAGGTCCTGTGTCAGGTCTTTGCTGGATTTGTATTTCCTCATTTCATGACTTTCAAATACTGTTCATCTGCTGTTCATCTGAGATATGCGTTTGACTAATAGCTCTTTGGATATCAGCTTTGGTGCATAAGATACTGTCAAATTGTTATCTTTAAGCACTTTTCTACAGGCAGTGTGTCACAGCAACACAAAATGTGTCCCCATCTCTTTATATGAAAATGTTCTGTTATGTATAGACAATATTTGTCCATCCCTTGGGTTGGATGCCTTTTTGTGCTTACAGGGTTCATAGCTCATTGGTTTAAACGAAGGGAAAAAAGAAGAAGAAGAAAAAAATCTGATAGCAATTTAACAAATTTTTCCTCCAACTACCATTTCTTCCTCAACACAAGAGAAAGGGCTTTATTTCTTGGAAGTAAAATATAAAGAAATGAGGGGGGGGGGGTGCAAGCTTTTTTGCACAGACCTATATTAGACTAAAACTTCACCTTTTGTAAGAAGTGGGGGGAGACGCCGACTCCGGGGGTGTTGCAGTAGTTACCCGCTATGCATGCATGTAGATTTGTGTCTGTTACCTAGGTATGGTATGCAAGAAACCATGCTCTGGCTGCTGATGTAGTCTCTCAGGCGTTTATAGTTGTCTTCTTTGGACATCAGGTAATCAAGCCGGTCAAACGTTGCCTTGTCCTTACGATTAAGCAACTACACACGAAGACAGGGATAAGGAGGGAACAAATGAGGGCTACGATGTACAAGTGGAAAGATTTGACCATAAAAATATTTTTAAAAGAACCTCCTGTGGTTTTGCAGACCAGAGTTCAAGAAATTTCCAGCATTACATCACGACATCATTATGTTATTATGTAACTTCTACATCTTCACTGAGAACACTGACTAACAAGTTTGTAAAACAGACACTGATTTAAAATTGAATAATGAATTCAAAATGTTCACCATCCATAAAGATTGTGTCACGTTCGTGTACAGATACTTGGCATCTCACTGAGACGCTGACATCTTTCTAAAAGTAATCAGAGTTCAAGGGAAGTGTATTTGTTAACGTCTCATTTTCCTTGTGAAATTAAAGTTTCGGGAAGTTTTAACTCTTTAATTCATTACGCCATGTCACTTGTGCTACTTTGTTTTATTATTCTCCGTTTATGTGTCCAGTGTTTTGGTGCAGGCTTTGGGGAAATTCTTGCTTATTGACAGCACTCTACTAATAAACTTGTGACTTCAAAGCACAGCAAATATTACTCACCGCCCAAGTTTTGGTTAGCCTGAAGATGGGAGCACTTTGTAACGCTGACACCACTGCCATTACCGCATGGAGGTTGTTCATGTCACACAGTTTCTGTGAGTAGTAGTAGAGTACATCAAACATACATTAAGTTGAATTTGTGCTGCAAACATTCGTGTGGACAAAAAGTCATGTCCTGGGTGGACTTGTGTACCTTGGCAGTGCGAATATACAGACTCAGCACCTCGGCTCTGATCTTCAACGTCTGTGCATGGAGGATCTCTCGTACCACCCAGAAACTTGTCTAGAAAACAAAACAAAACAAACAAAAAAATACTCACAAACAAGGACAAGCAATTTTATCCCTTTTCCCTCAATGGTTTTCAAAAGATCGAAGTTACATTCAATTTAAAAAAAAATAAAAAATCTATTTGGAAACACAGGAAGGCTTGGTTGATAATCCTTGGATCCTCAGGCAACAAACTTGTTCTTGGTTGTTGAGCCACTCTTTGTGGCCGTGTCTGCATGTGACTGGTAACCAATGATCACTTTTGATGGAACGCCTAGCCTCTCTTTATACACACGCCCTATGTGTGTGATGGCCTCTTTATTTTCATAGTCTGTAGTCCATATAGCCATCTTATCACCTTTGGCTCTAACATTAATGACAGCTCCACAAACATCGTCACTGTAGTCGTCAAAAGCTTCTCCAACAAGACACAGGAGCGTCTCCAACCAAGTATTACAGAAAATCCCTTTCAAGTAAGGACAAAGGGTAGTTCTGCTTCACACAATCTCCTGATTTTGAATCGAGAGCCAAGACTTGAAGACCTGTGTGACAACTCTTAATTAAAAC